GTGCGTGGGACCCGAAGTTTAGGTCATATGGATCTCAGAAGTTTTCGGATTGTGCATCTGAACACTTTAGGTCCAGCCGCTGAGGTTTGGATCACACATCTTAAACTTCAGTTCTTACATCTGAAATACTTCGGTTTTTACCCCCGAAAAACTTCGGTTCTCATATCTGAAGTATTTCAGATGTAAGAACTGAAATTTAAGATGTGTGATCCAAACCTCAGCGGCTGGACCTAAAGTGTTCAGATGCTTAATCCGAAAACTTCCGAGATCCATTATGACCTAAACTTAGGGTCCCACGCACGAGGTTTTTTTCTCCGTGCAGGCTGATCTAAAAAATTGGTCCCTATTTCCCCTCTCCCTGTTTTCCCGGTGAATAAAACAGATGCACGTATTTCCGGGAAGTCGGGTATTTAAGTGCTTATCACACCTAATTCTCCGTTATTTTTGATCATTGCATACGCGACCCCTGAAAATCCCATGAAATGTTCAAAATTTCCCTAGCGAAAAGAAGTTCTGCCAAATTTTTTCCCGTATTTTTCATTCTGAATTTCGTCAAGTCCCGAAGTTGCTCGAATTACAATGCGAAAACTAATGCTTTCAAAGTTCGTTACGTAACTATGAAGAACGCTTCATCCTCGAGGACAGAACGAACAGAAGAAAAATAAACGAGCGTCAGCTCCAGGGACTCGGAACCTCTGGGGGTCCCGAAGCCTTTGAATAATCAAATGCTCCCCAGATTTACAACTTACGTCATCATTCCCTTTGATCCTTCATAACCACGCGTTCAAGCAAGAAGGAAATTTTTTTTATCAACTTACATACGGCGCATGCAATTTTGAAAGAAGCGGAACTTTTTCCCCGTGCTTTATTCTGTTTTGTCCATCTTCATTTCTTGTTGAATTGTTTCGTCCGTTGGAAACATCGTTTTCGTCTTTATCCTTACGACAATCTCATTTATTTTAGCAGAAAGTTTTTAGCCTTCCCATCCTGAAAACCCCTTTCTCCTCAGAAATTTCAAAAGTATGTTTCTTTTATGGTTCTGTGCGTACAGATTGCCGTCATTTTGCCAGGAACACGTGATTTTCATTGGGACTTTACGAAAAATACGTATCTTTACAGCAGTCTCCCCCCCCCCCCCCAAAAAAAAATAAATAAAATCGTGACCTGGCAGGTCGGATGGTCGAAAAGTTTTTGCACCCCACCCCCGTCACGCTGTTTAATCCAGGAATTCGTTAGTAATTTCTAGAACGGTTAAGTTTTATAAATACGACGATCTTGTCCTGAGTTGATGGCACCAAAAGTGAAGATCCACCTGTATTTTTTTAGCTAATTCAGGGTGTCTAGCATCAAAATTTTCCCGATTTAATCCTGATTTCATTAGGATTTGAGGGAAAATCGGTCGTAAAATCAGGATTTAAGAAAAGCCGGCCGTCCGATCGGCTTTTTTATCGAGCCATTTTTGTGAAGTTACATTCGCCTAAGCTTTCTCCGCAAACATCAGGATTTGGGAAAATGATGAAATCAGGATTTAGCAGTTCACTGGAAAAAAAACACATTGGATCTGGAGTCCAGACTCTGAAAAACATCTACAAGAAAAAATACTCTTGATTCAATCGGATTTTTGCTCAAATCAAGAACCAAGCCTCTTAATTTGAGCGGATTTCCTTTTGATTTAAGCAAAAATCTGATTGAATCAAGAGTATTTTCTCTTGTCAATGGTATTAAGAGTCTGGACTGCAGATCCAATGTGTTTTTTTTTTTTTTTTTTTTTTTCCAGTGCAGTTAGAAATCAGTAGAAATCAGGATTTCATCAGGATTCCCTAAGATGAAAAAAATTATACACCCTGTAATTATCAATGAAGTCAAGCGGGAACTGGGTGGCGGTGGCCGCAATTGCGCACGCTATCTTGAAGACTGCGCTGGCCGGTGGCTAGTCCACGTGTCGCGAGCAGACCCCGCGTCGTCGGTCAGCCGTAAATGAGCGTTGCCTTTTCGCCGCCGTAGAACGGGCCCGAGCCCCGGTAACCGCGGGTGGTGCGTCAACGGTGGTGCGTCGGGGCTTGGTCGGGCGTAACGTGTGCGTCGAAGCAAGAAGGAGCTCCTGTCAAAGGCAGCCAACGCTGAGCCTGATGAGCCCCATCTATCGGGAATCGGATCGGATCCGTCCGGCAGGGATTCCGGCGCTACGTCGCTTCTTTAATCCGCTCCGGGTTCGTATCCCGTCATCGTTCCGCCACACAATGGATCGAGCAGGGTGTCTACAAGTTCGGAAAGTCCGGAAAAAATACTGATTTTTTCAGGGCGGCCTGGAAGTACTGTTAAAGAGCTGGATGCCGTAAGATGGTCCGGAATTTTTTATTTTTTTGTCATTTTTGTCGCAATTCAAGCGGGAAATTCGATTTTTTTTAAATTTGCCGAATTTCGTCAATTAGAGGTCCTAAAGTCCGGAAAAAGTACTGATTTTTTCAGGGCGGTCCGGACGCACTGTTGAAGAGCGGAATGCCGCAAGATGGTCCGGAATTTTTTATTTTTTTCTCATTTTCGTCGCAATTTGAGCGGGAAATTCGATTTTTTTAAATTTGGCGAGTTTCGTCAATTGGAGGTACTGAAAAAGTACTGACTTTTTCTGTTGATGAGGTACTTAATTTCTTGGGAATGCACTGAAAAAGTACTTATTTTTGGCCAGCCTCTTTTTGTAGACCGATTCAATGGGAGAGGTCAGATCAAATTTGGAAACTTTCAAAGCCTATAACTCCGTTAAATCAAAACTTACAGATTTAAAAATGGTTCCGTTGGTTTCCCCGTGAAATTTGCTGCTTGAAGTATCCCTCCAAATTTAAAATGTGACGAATTTCACATCAAAATTTGCAGTTTTAGTCCAAAATTTCATGTCCGACCTCTTCGATCGACTTGACCCACTGTGCGGCACTCGTTTCCGTCCCGGAATCCGCCCGTAAACCGGAATTGGCGTGGAGTTCCGGAGGTCACCGGAGACACGGAAAAGTTGAGGGATTCGACGAAACCGGGAGCATCGCGGAACTTCAGCGAGGATCAGGGATTATTTTTTTCAACCCTCTTTTTTATTTTTTATGCTGTCGGGAAAAACGGGCAGGTCCGAGAATTTTGGAAATAGTAGCAGGGTTGCCACAGTCCGGGAAAACGACGATAGTGTCAGGTAAAAATGTTCGAGTCACCTTTTTGTGCTTCCTGGAATGACGTTGACGTTGTTCGACGTTGCGAACAACGAATTTTGCCTGATTACTATTTTAAATTATGTCTGTTTGACCATCTGGCACATCCTCAATTGGACGTATTTCTGTCAAACGGAACTAAGCGCCAATTTGAGTTCCTTCTGAGGAATTTCGAATGCCGGATAACGCGTTCTGTCAAACGGAACTAAGCGCCATGGAAAAGCATTGCGAGTATAGGGCAGAATGAGCCCGACGCGACGCCCGGTTCCGCCGCCAATCCAAGCCCCCCTCTACCTTCTTCCCTCTATGGCATTTATTTCCGTTTGATAGAAATACGTCCAATTATTAGGGAATTATGTGCAATGGTTAAGATTCGATTATTAAGGTGTTCGTTGCGAACACACTGTTTATCGATCCTTTTCCTTAGGTTTTTATGACGGATCAATCAATGTATCGCGAAGCACGCTACGCCATTGCAGCACCTGTTGTGCAACACGCGTAAGTGACCCATTTGAATGGTTTGATAGGGTTTCGCGCCACTTTTTTGTGGAGGGCCCATCATCATCCCATTTCGACGAGCGACACGACCCGATACGCGGATTGAGACGGAACGTGCCGAAGCGCGCCGGCCGCGACTGCGACTGTGTTGCACGTTTGGCAGGGGCCCAAAACACACTGAGCCCCCTCAAGACAGCCAATAAAATCCCGGCAACGCATAAACATCTCAACCGATAATTATGGGTCGTTCCCTACCCAAACAACGGCTTCCCACGCCGCAAATTCACTGTCTCGCTCTCCGCGCGGCTGCATCCGCGGAAGTTTGTCGCATCCCCCGGCGGCGGTGCGTGCTTTGCGATATATCGATTGATCGGGCATTTAACCCTACGGAAAAGGATCGATAGACAAGGTGTTCGCAACGACCAGCTTAATGATCGATTCTTTACCACAGCTTCAAATGGGGATAAATGGATAATCGATCTTCTGCGCCTCGGCACTGGCATCCCCTGAAAATCTGCCTTGCATGTGTGCTCTATTTTCCGGTATCCTCCTTGTATCCACGCTCTATTTGGCTCCCGTATGATCCACGCGCTGCATTCCTCAGAGCGACAAACTTCCATTGAGGGTCGTTTGTTTATTCGCGCTAAAGTACAGTATTTTAGATCCGATTCCTCCCTCGTCACGCACCCGTGAGGCGCCCCCCCCCCCTTGCTTCCCGATAAATTACGTTTTTTACTGAGAACAGTCCCCTGTTAAACTTTAAAATAGCTATTTCTCGTTGGTTTTTTCACCTAAGTCGTCGAATATTTTTCAGGCTGCCGGTGTTTTTGTGACGTCACGCATAATCTGGCTCCCTTGCAATAAGGAATTCATTTCTTGGGCGTATTTTATAAACATTAAATGTGCCGCTAGATTCCTCATGCTGGCGTTAGGTGGTTCCATAGGTGAGCCAAAAAAATTAGTTCCCTATCGCGTGATGAAGTCCATTCACGAAGTTCCCCTCGCCGACAGTGGCGTGGCGTGTTTAGCGATATATCAATTGATCTACCCTCCAAACCTATGGAAATGAATCGATAAATGGGGTGTTCTCAGCGAACACCCTTAATGGATTCTTTACCATAGCCTCAAATGGGGAAATATCGATGATCATTCACGCTTAACCACTGCTCGCTGACTCTCTTGACATGTCATCCAAGCGCACCCACCGTTGATGTCTTTCATCCATCCCATCATTGCAACTTAACATGTGCGTAATAGGAATCAAGTTCGAGAATATAAATTTATTGGTTTTTCTTTCTTTTTCTGTTGCAGCAACTATTTCGGTCTCAGCAGCAGCAAGCGGCCGTGGCAGGAGCAGCAAACCCGGCCACAGCACAACAGCTTCAATTACTGCAGCAGCAACAATATCTGCAACAGCAGCAGCAGCTCACAGCAGGTCTTCCTGGTGCAACCTTCGCCCCTCCCGCGCCCTACATTATCAACCCTCAGGAACCTTACGTCATAACTGGTAAGCTCCCTACATTCACCCTCCCTTTGCATACTTTCTTTAAAGAGCTAACACCGAATGAGAAAACTACACTCCACCCTTTCCGTGTTCAGATCTTAAACGGTGTGTTAAACGTTGAACTTGAACCTCGCTGAAAGAAAGGAGAATGGGAAGGGGGTAGTAGTGCGTTACTCACCTTCCCCTTAGAAGAGATGCGATACATAGAAGAGAGGGAAGAAATAGAAGCAAAACAGACATTGGTCGAACGAAGAGGCCGTTATTACGGGAGGGTGAAGAGATTGACGTCCGTATTGTAAGATGCTCCTTGAAAACTCTTGACGTGAAACTTGCTTCAAAGCATGAGGATTTCAGCGTGCACCAGGGGCACTTAAGGAGATTCTGAGTCGACAAAACTGAGGGAAGAGTCTTCAAATTTCTGTCCAAAAGATAGCCCGCATCCCCACCCTAGTCCATCCCATCTCGCATGCCTTCCAAGCAGCATCCTTGATCAAAGAAAAACCGCCGTGCCGTCCCATTCCTTCAAAAAACAAATTACTGACTGTACTGCCGTGGTAAGGAAGAACGCCTTATGAACATTCGAGAGTTGCCAAATTTCCCTTGATAAAACACGTATTTTTGACAACATTCATGCAAATTTTACTTTAAATTTTCAGCTATTTTAGATTAAATTGCATACACAATTAATCGTCTGAAAATTTTGAAAAATAATATTCAATATTTTTTCAATAGATTCGGTTTTTATCGGAGGAAACTTGGCAACGCCTGAAGGCTCATACGGCGTTCTCCCTTAGCACGGCAGTGTAGGGCACTCTCCTCCCTAATTCTAATTCCTTTAAATTCAGGGGTGAAATCCGGGATGTGTTTCATTGCGGAGAATGTGTAGCTGGCAGGCAACCCAAGTGAAATTTTCGAATGACATATAAAAATGACATTTCGGCATATTTGACCCCTTTGTAACGCTTTTGTAACGCAGGTGCCTGTTAACGCGGTAGAACAAATTGGCGTAACGCTCTCCTCAACCGCCCTCCCTCTGGAGCGTTACGGACTTCAGGGACGCACTGGAAAAAAAAACACTTTGGATCTAGAGTCCAGACTCTTGAAAATATTGACAAGAAAATGGACTCTTGATTCAATCAGATTTAAGCTTGAATGAGAAGGAAATCCGCTCAAATTAAGAGGCTTGGTTCTTGATTTAAGCTTGTATCCGATTGAATCAAGAGTTTTTTTTCTTGTCGATGTTTTTATGAGTCTGGACTCTAGATCCAATGTGTTTTTTTTTCCCAGTGCACTCCGATTTCATTCTGATATTTTTAACAGTTTTTCGAACACTCGCGGGCTGAAAAACCGAGGTTCTAAATTCGCGGCGCGGTCCGGTTAATTGCTACTTGACTTATTGACTGCAATTAAATCTAGTCCGATCAACGAATCTAACTCCGAAAGAGAAGGGGGGGGGGGGGGT